TTACCATATACTGAACAGTCGAGAAATGTCATCACAATCCTTCTGTAGCTTTGAAGCGAAATGTATTAGCGATTGAGATAATCACTCACTATACCAATTTAATAGCGCGCTTATGGCGCAGTGGTCGGAGGCGCTCTGCAGCACACGTGTGGAATCGATCCCGGCTCCCATGGCCCACCAAAGTCGGCGAATTGGTACCAGACTTGTCTGAGAGGATAGCAGCACTGGCTCGATACATCGGTAAACCACCGCGAGTCATTGTAAAGGCCAGATATGCATTCAATCACCTCCAAACGATGCTTATTGAAATCGAATGTATGGCGGCACGGCGCATCTCTCAGTGATTGATCAACGCCGAGAGCTATATCCTTTTGTCCTTTATTATACTAATTTTACTGCTAGCTTTAGTATATTGTTATTGTTATAGAAGAATATAAATGTGCTTTAATAGGGTGTCGTTCAACGAAATCGCTTTTTCGGAATATGTACCAAAACCATTTAAATTTGGTGATTTATACGAACAGTGCACGAGCTTTGAAACCTTACGAGGACTGGTTAACGTCTGTGGAGAATTCTTTCTTCTTTCGGCCGATTTCTACCAGTAAGACAATCTCTTCATAACACAACTTTGTGCTCTGCTTGGTTCTACATTCGATATTCAAAGTCTTACAGAATAAAAAGAATGGCATGGGACGACGGATGGAAAAATTGCAAGAAAAAAGTACAGTTCCACTTCTCGGTACCGGTTCTGATAAAATAGTTAGTGTTTTGGCTAAATTTTGAAAAGAATTCGTCTTCGTCTTTTAAATCAAACACATTTTATAGTGACGTAACTAAGCCGGAAAGTGCTAAATTTGTTGGTACGTACTATACAAGCATGGATTTACTCTCTTATTTAGACACGAATGGGGAACAAGTAAGTTGTTCATTGATCATAGTTAGTCGAACTACAATGAATCTATCAAAAAACAAAACTTCTCTCCAGGAGATTATCAAGAACTTCATGGCCAAGCTTGAAAAGGGAATGATGTCATCGACCAAGTTTGAAATACTGTGCGCGACTTTGTGGGATGACATAGCCACTGAATAAATCCTTTGAGATTTCGGCTCGTTTGATTCACGATTGGCAACCGCTCATCGTACGTTAGATTTCATTAGCAGTGCTAGATCTGTCGTTAGACAGAGCGAGTTACACCATAAAAACAGAAAAATAAACAAACAAACAGCAACAACAGCACTAGCAGCAGCAACGAGAATATCCGCAACAACAACAACGTGAAGAACAGCAACAACAAGATCAGCAACAACAGTAACTGATTATAAGAACTCACAGTTTAAGGGAACAAAAACCGCGAAAAACATCTTCATTCATGGGTAACTATGCAGCTGTTGTGAAGAAAAGGAGCATTACATTATTCATTGTGTATGATTCTTCTAAGGGTACGTGTAGCGCAGTTGTTTGAGGCGCCACTGCGACACACGTGGAATCGGTCCCCGCGCCCTTGGTTCACCAAGCCCTCCATCCCTCTGGGATCATCAAATTGGTACCAGACTTGTCTGACAGGATGGCAGCACTGGATTGGTAAATCGGTAGGCCACCGTGAGTCATTTTCAAAGCCAGATATGCATTAAATCACCTTCAACGATACTTAATAAAGTCGAATGCATGGCGGATCCCTCAGGGACTGATCAGCGCCGAGAGCTCTATTCGTCATCCTCCATGGTCCTTCTACAGACAGATTAGCCATACTTTTGCTAGAGTGCAAAATTTCTTGAGCAGCTGTCGCAAACTCATCGTAGCGACCGTAGATTGTTTTAGAAACAAAACAGTACCAAAGTTTCATCAGAAGAAATCCAACGTTAACCGATAAAAATTCACAAATGTGCACAATACGTCGTTATTTGCTTGTTAAATAAGAGCATAGAGACAGCTTTCTGTGCTATTTTTCCAACTGAACACCATCTTCAATGTGACAACGCCCTGTAACATTCTCACCAACTGCTAGTGGTTGACGGTTCCAGGGTGGATCACAGCGTTATAATTAAACTCAGTACTAGATCCCTCGACTCTGTTTCATTTCTGTTAGGCTTCGAAGTGGCCACATTACACAAGCAACTCTTCTTAAACCAACAAGTTCACCAATACGAGTTTCCAGGGCCATTTTTCGTCTTATCCGATAATTGTGTAGGCGCATACCGACACGGGCAATGAAACTGTTCGATAAACTAACAGCACCTCTGCGAACATCGCCCAGTTAGACTTGTGTTCTATTTCTTGTTTTCAAAGATTATTCATCGTAGAATGACGGTCTAGAACCTTGGTAATCCCTAGAACTATTCAACTGCTTAGAAAAGACATGTTGCCGATCTTGGTACCAGATATGTCCACCTTAGGTCTAATACAAGTTCACTATCGCGTTATTCATCACATTCTACTCATACTTGGATACGAAATGGTCTTCAGGAATTTTTAAAAGAAGCTTACTCAATACTTCGAGCGATGCTCCGCCTAGAAAATTCGCCTCGATGTCACTACGAAGATTCAAATCGCGAGGACAACGAACGTAGACCGTCTACTCGAATCACCGCGGCTATGAACAAGGCGCTATTGGCCTGATAATCTGAGAAAGTCTCTCTATAAAAGTATTAAGCACTACTTCTTTTTGAATGCCTTCACAGAATAATGACTGGACGTCACCTATACTTGAACTGGACGGCATCATAGCGAGCAGTGAGGATCAAGCCATTGACTCTCTAGTAATCTCATTGAGAAAAGAGCTCTACAAGGATATGCATTCTCGACAAAGTTGCGTACAAGAGAACAGACAACGTTACAAGTTAACGAAAAACTCTCCATCTACCATTCATGATTTGCTCAAGAAAACTTCGTTCTCTCAACACTACTCAGTGAAGCACAGAATGGTGACTAAGGGATTAAACCCAGTGGATTAAAGAATTGGATTAGGTCGATGACTAAAGGGAAGTTAGAATGAAAATTCACAACTATCCATATCGTCTAGTCAGTGATGTCAATGATTCTGGATGTATCGTTCTTTAAAATGAGCAGCCCTATTCATGTACTGTAGAAGATCCATAGCTAAAGAGAACGAAGTGGGCCTCATCTACCTTTGTGGAAGAAGCAACGAACAAGCTCACCCGACTAAGAATTACGTTCCGTCTTCTCAACCCTATTAACAACAGCCATACCAAGAGTTTACCGACCCAGCAGAGCCTTCCAATCTGAGGAGTCCTAAGCTTCCATCCGGAAGCCCAACTAAAAGTAAACCACTACCAAGAATCGCCACGATCCTGGTATTGAACTAATAGCATGGTGGCGAAGACCTTCGTCTTATCCGCAAGGGCTGCGACTCCTTGTGGTGGTGACGACCTGAGAAAGGCTTCAGCTAGGCCGATCTCTGGACTCCAGAGAACTACGATGGCTAAACTAGCAAATCTCCGGAGGATGGAAATTATGCTTAGGCCTGCACAACCAATAAAATTGGGCCATTCAAGTATCCAAGTAAGTATTAACGACAATATGCATCGGAAATATCGGATAAACGAAATAACGAATGAAGAATATCAATTGAGTTCTCAAGCAAAGTTTACAACGATCCTTAATAGACATCCGTATACGCTTTCAGTGCAAGTTCTACTTGTGTAGACATTCATGCAACCTAGCGTGTTAGATTTATACTGTTTTCCATTTATTACATTACTCAACATTCATATGTATCACATTGGGCGATCTCAGAATTGTTTGCATTCGACTCGTTTCCTCGCATCCACTGTCCCCGAAGGCCTTCGAACTTCTGTAGATGAGTTCGGATGCTGCTTGAGGAATCTTTCATCTTCGTCACAAATGTCGTTGAATGCCGGTCGAGCCGATTCTCTTTGGAATCCTGAGATAGTTGTATTAAGGTATTTCCACGTGAATGATAGGAAGTAAACTGGTCCCAGACAACTGTGGTACCAATTTTCCAAAATCCAAATAGTATGAGAGGTGTGACGAGGTCGCGGCCGAATAGGAGCGGTGCCCGAGTAAGTTTAGTCGTTCGTGTAATCAACGGGGTCACTGCTACTGTGCTATCCACTGTTTGAAAAAAAAACGCTTTACAATACGGAAAGTGTGGACTAATGAATACAACAAACCACTGGAACTAGCTAGGTGGACGTGAGACCTTTCCTCTCTCTTGCTTATCGCTCTTTATTTCTGCTATTCCGCCAATCCACAGCTCCGATAGGCGGTAAGACATTTGGGATAGTGAGATGTCAAACATTGTTTGTAGTAAATGAAGAAAAAGTAAAACGGCAGGCAAAACATTGACTACCGAAGAGATGAATTCCATTGCCAGTTGGACTACAGCATCGAGGATACCGACTTAACCACAAAACGAGTTCAGCTCTGTGGAGAATGAATCATACATATTGATGGACCGAAGACCTGATGAAGAGGATAGCAGAGCGGTAGTGATGCCGGTCATTATGAGCACGGTACTGGTTCGATCCCTCTGCGCGCACAGTAAGCGTCTCATCTCTCTGGAAAGGGAAATTGGTATCGGACCTGTCCGGAAAAAACAATCCCTTCAATCCAACTAGGGACGTTCGTTTCAGCCCGGTTATCTGTCTCCAGGAAGAATCTACTCCACCAACATTCAACGATATTCAGGACTGAAGGAAGATCTTCAAGCAACAACCGAAGCCATACGTAGATTGCTGGGATCCGCAAAGTAAATGAAAAAATGAATAAAATAAAAATACCTGATGTCACGTTACGTCCCTTTTGAGACTATGTGCTCCAATCGTGATTTTCTCTTCGCCCTTTATTCAATTCGGCGAAGGTGATTCATCTCCTGGCAGCGCTTGCACTGTTCTTTTAGTATGGTTGTAGCTTGTATTTCGTATGGAAACTTTATGGTTCTGTTCTGATCTTCAAATAGTAGATTCTTCTGATTTCTTAAAGTTATTGTCACACTGAGCTCATCTCATTTATTCTAGATATGTCGTTGTGGCGGGCAACAATAGGAGCAAAACCTTCGGTACCGCCGAAACCGGAGAAAGATGATGAATGGGAAACGGACCCTGACTTTGTAGTAAGAATCTTCTCTTTTTTTTCTGCGGTGCTACGTGAGCAAGAAAGTTGTGTAGACTGAGACCTGCCACGTAAACAGTTGATGATTCGCGTAGTTCTATTCCTCATCTCTACTCGGTAAATTCCTGGTGCTGTAAAACAGTTTTTTAAGAACGATATTAGTGAAAAGGCTAGTCGTTGGGGAGCGAAAACTGTCGAAGGGTCCGGTCATCAGGAGCACTTCAACATGAACGATCTTAGACAAGAAGCGCTAATTGCAGAAAAGATCCAGCAGGTTTATTTGATCATTGTTTGTAATCCTTACTTTGTGATGTGTTTACAATATTTTCTTCAGGAGAAGAAGCTTGACCAAATGCCAAAAGCAAGTGAAGGATATGGAGGCAAATTTGGAGTGATGACCGATCGAATGGACAAGGTTGGTTGCTTGTGGAGGTTACCATTTGATGTTGGAAGATCGATGCCTTCGATTAATTGTTCAGTAATTTTACGGTTTTCTAAGCTACACAGTTGTTCTTCTTTTAAGGCAGCTGTATCCTTCGATTATAAAGGCAAAGTGGAAGCTCATGCTTCACAGAAAGATTATTCTATGGGATTCGGTGGAAAATTCGGTGTTCAGTTGGACAGGAGGGACAAGTCTGCTGCTGGTTGGGACGAAAAGGTTGAGTTGTCGAAACACGAAAGCCAAAAAGGTATCGATTCGACACCACCTACTTTGCATGTTTTTGTTTTCTAATGTCAAAAGCAAGTTTAATAAAGTTTCAATTTACTTACTTGGATACTTGGACGGCTCGTCCTCTTGGTTGTTCCGGCCCCACCATGTTCTTCATTTTTCGGAGTTTTGCTAGCTTACCCATTGTGTTTCCCTGGAGTTCCGTGGTCAGCCTGGCCAAAGTCTGCTTCATGTCGTCACCATCACAGGTAGTCGCAGCACTTCTGGACCAAAGGGCTTTGATACTAGGACTTTGGTGGATCTTGGTATTGGTTTACTCTTAGCTAAACTTCTTGATGTAAAAGCCGGACTCCTTTTCAGTTTGGGAGACTCAGCCGAGGGTATTAATACCCCTGGTGTAAATTTTACCCTCACACCCAGAAACACTCTCAGCCACAATGACGCGGTAAACCCTTAGGAGGTGAAGCTTCAATTTTCAATATTTAAATTTGCCGTGCTTTACATTAAGTTTACTGAGCCAATTTTCCACTGAAGTTGACCATATTAGTTTGTTTGTACACCTGCAAACGTTGCTTCCTCACTCATTTTAATGAGAGCTATCAGAGATTTCTAAGCGTTTGCGGTGGTCATTTTTTGTTAACAATAGCTTTTTTACTTCACTGTTGTTCTAACCGGAATGTGGTTTTTTTGTTTACTTGATCAATAGTGTGATGTTTGCTACATATTCATTTCGACTTTGAGTTTCTTAAGATGCCTCAGCTGGATATGGCGGACGATTCGGCGTCCAAACGGATAGGAAGGACAGATCCGCAGCAGGATGGGACGAAAAGGTGGAGCTGTCTAAACACGAAAGTCAAAAAGGTTTGTTATTCATTCTAATTGCTTACATTAAGGTGTGTTCTTCTTCGCCCCCGCAAGTGGGATCGACTTTTCAGAAAGGAATCGGGAATTTCTGTTTCTTCATTTCTATCACTCACATTACGTGTTTTGCGTATCATAGCACTTCTTTCATTTTATCCATATTCTCACATTCATCATCTGTCAGAGTTTCCAAATTTCAAGTATGGGTTCGGTTGGTGTTTGAGGATTTTTCTTCAACTTTCGAATCATTTCATTCTGGTGTCCTGAGATATCTCTACTACGAACTTCGCAGGTCCTCACTAAAGAATGTCGCCGACCCTTATTGTCTATGGAGAGATGTTTTCTAAGACAAATCTAGTATCATTTTGTCCACCTGCTAGGATGGGTTGCTTGATTGGAGCAGGGGAGTGACACCTGGAACCATGCATACATTAACGCACAACATTTCAAACCAGTGCACTTACAGCACGCCAGAAGCGACAGAACTAATTTGGTTCTCATTCCTACTATTACTAATTAAACATATGCATTGTTTCCTCTAACATTTAAAGCTTAAAATAGGTGGTTCATCATGAACAAGTTTAAAATAGTGAATAATTACATAATTTTTGTGCTAATTGGAGATTTTCGTTTGTAACACCCACAGTGACTTCTCGCAATACTTGTTCTTCCTTTATAGACTTTTTGCATTTGTAGTTATCTCTCTTTTGCAGAAACTATTTTTTAGTACTTGTTTCGTCACTTTTTGAAAAATTGAATGTTTGATTGCTTTCGGTATGTACAGATTTTCAGATGCAGTAACGGGCTACGGTGGTCGGTTTGGAGTGCAGACTGATCGTAAGGATAAATCTGCCGCAGGTTGGGATGAGCGAAATGAGCTTACAAAACATGAAAGCCAAACTGGTGAGTTGAATATTTACGTACCACATTTGCATTAACATGTCTTCATACGGAGTTATACGATGCGTAAAGAATCGACGTCTCCAACTTTTAACCAGCATATCTAAATTCGCGGTATATTTTGGGGAATTGAAATAAAATATAGAATCTTTCCTGCAAAATACTTGCCTGCAAGGTGTAAGGTTTCTTGTTCTAGTACAATAAAATTTTTGTCTTATGGAGCTGATCAAGCGTTTCTTTCCTCAGCTTCTCTTTTGCGCTAAGGCCTATATTTGGGAAATGAAAGTAAGTGAACAATCGGGATTTCGATGAGAGGGACATGATTATCACAACATATCGTTGGTTTTTGTTGTCGTTGCATTTGCGTGGAAAATTTTAGGAATCTAAACTTCGTTTTCAATCTCTTGAGAATTCTAGTTGTAAAATTCAAATTTCTGTTGGAATTATATTTCCCTTAATGCGATAGGACAAAGTTTTCTAAGAGTCAGTTAAGTTATAAACTCCATTATTGCTGTGTTTGTTGCGATTTCATTGTCTGTTGTGTTGTTGAAAGGTCAGTTTCGTTTCGAATGTCGTAATGCACATGTTTTGGTTTTAAAGTGATTGTTTTCATGCTGTATTTGGTAAATTGCTATTTGACATGTTGCGATTTCTGTTTTCCTTTTTCAGATTACAAAAAGGGATTTGGAGGCAAATTTGGCGTGCAAAAAGATCGTCAGGATGCCGCTGCTGCTGGCTGGGATGCAAAGGAGCAAGTCCCAAAACACGCCAGTCAAACTGGTCAGTTCACATTCATATTACTCTCACAACATTTATACCTTTATCTACAAATGGTAAAGCATGTTGCAACAACGTCTTTTTTTTTTGAAAATATGGATGTATTCACTCGAGGTAAAGTTCTTCGTTAGCAGACTACAAGCAAGGTTTTGGAGGGAAGTTCGGCATCCAGAAAGACAGACAGGATAAGTCTGCGTTTGGTTACGACGTTCATGACAATCTAGAGAAGCACGAGAGTCAAACAGGTTTTTATTTCGTTTTTTAAGATTCGTCTTGGAATCTAAATTTCCTATAGTTCGGACTTGCGGTAATTTTTCAAAGTGCTGTTTCTTTCATAACATCTGATTTGTTTTTCTTTATGTTATATGTAAGTGGATTATTTCAGACTACAAGAAAGGTTTTGGAGGGAAGTTTGGTGTTCAGAATGACAGGCAAGACCGTAGTGCAGCTGGGTTTGAGTATCACGAAATATTAGCTAAGCACGAAAGCCAATTAATAAATAAGGGTAAGTAGCATAGTTAGCTCTTTTATGTTACAAGATGTCTGTTTGCGTTTTCATCTTTGTTTTCTTCTTAGATATAGACAGAAAAAACGACCAAACCTGTGGTGACGCACCTATGAAGCCATCAAAGAAAATAGCTGGTGACTGCAATCAAGATCCAGCTACTGAGACCTCTCGAGCGTCAGAGTTACGTGCTAAGTTCGAGAAAATGGCTACCGCTGATGTTAGTTCCCGTTTTTATATCGTCATTATCTTTGAATTTATCCAATTTCGTAAACGGTATTGAAGAAACTATTCCACATCTTCTATTCAGAGTGTGGATCGTGTCGCAGCAGAACGAGAAAAGAGGAAACGTGAAGATGATATGTTACGAGAACAGCAACGTCGAGAAGAGGTGTGTTTATCAAATTGAAAGAGCAGGTCGCATTATACAATGACCGTTCTATAAGGATCTGATGTTTATTTGGTCTTGAGATTTTCTTTAAGGAAGAACGAATGCGACGTATTGAGGAACAGTGGAAGAAACAAGATGCAGAGTATCCTATGGGTGCGGAAGAAAGACGTGCTGAAGAACTTGCTAATGAGCAACACCATCAGGTACGACATTTTCTGTATACTACATACCTATTTTTTTTTCTCCCTATGTAGTTTCATTTTAAGCTCAGCTATCTTTACTTTAGCAGAATTTGGCGAAACGTAGTGCGGGCCCTGCTCCAGGTGCAGTAGCAATTATGCCTGGGATTGCTAAACAGATGGTTCCTCAGGGAGCTGTAAAACCGAAACTTGAGGTGAAAGTGGGTTTTCAGTGCGGATGATTTTTGTATAAGTGACAGAATTTCTACTTATAGGATAGCCATCGATCTTCTCCAATCTTAGTTCCACCTCCTATGAAAGATGGGACGGCACGAGAACTTTCTGACGCACACGAATCACAAATTCCACGAGGTATTTATTTGTAGCTCATTTGTTTCTCATTGGTAACTTCTTCGCGATCTCCTTTTCGTTGAAACACGCCTAACATTTCTCCGTGCGCTGCGAGTCATGCATGTCTTGTGGTCTACTATGGTCTAATGTCCTAAAAAAAAGTTTTCTGTCTTACCGTTTCATGCGATGGCATTGTTTAGTTATCGAGATCGTTAGTGAACGAACAATCAGTAATTGGACAATAACTATGCTGAAATAATTCCCATGACCGACTTTCTGTTAACCTCGGCATTAATTGATAATTCAATGTTTTTCATCAATAAGCAGACACG